GGAGGTCCCTGGCCCAGCGAGTTAAACGAGGAATCCGGCGAGAGATGGGATCATGGGGATTGTTTTCTGCAGTGGCCATGTAAAGAGCTTCAAGACGTTGGATGAGAACAGCCATGATTTTCGGAGCGACCTCGTAGATCTCGGGGTCCTAGGCTATTGTTAGTAACAGGGTGGGATAATACTTGAACACTCAAGAGTGTGGTGCTATGCGCAAAAAGGACGCAGGACACAAGACTTACTCTAACTTTGACAGTCCGGAAAACACGCTCAAGCCAGTTGAGGCGATCCATCACGTTTGCTTCAAAAGACGAGGTCACAGCGGCGCTCACGGAAAGGACGACAAGTGGTGAGAGGTTAGAGAGGAAAGAGGGATCAAGTTTGACAAACAGATTGTTGAAAAGGTCTGGTTGTTGAGACGATTGGATCCACTACATAATCGAGAGAACAAGTTTAGTGAGAGGTAAAATACTAGAGGAAAAATGTGGTAGGGAAAACGTACCCTAATTGAAGCTTCTTCATATTTTCCGGCATTCAATAGTTCACTGATTCCCTGCAACTCAACTTCCTCTGGGGATGCTTTAGGTGGAACCACATCTGGAACGGGGCTTGGGGCCGATGCCTTCTCAGACGACTCAGCCTTGACCCCAACCTGACGGTTAATTTCCAAAATCTCTTTCTGAAACTGAGACTGGGCAGCTGCCATTGTCGAAATGGTCTCCGATAGAGACCGTACAAGCGTCGTGAGTTGATCGATTTTGGCACTATCATTTTGTTGTCTTATCTCATACTGCTTCATTTGGCCGACAAACTGTCGCTCAACCTCCTTTGTTGTCATTCTCGCTTGTTGGATGGATTCCTCTCTGAATGATGGGACGATTTTTTCGTGGAGAACCCTGGAGATGTCTCTCTCCACCCGCGTAGAAAGGGATACCGACATCAATTCAGAGATGCGGAGAAGTACATTTTCATTCGACATTGCCCGTTGTACGGCTGAAGGGAGAACCTCCTTGATAGCGGGTGGAACTATCGAATCAAGTTGTCGGCTAAGACCCTCCTTTATTTGCAGGTCCATAGACTTTGTCGTAGATTCAACGAGTGCTGGGACTACCATCGACTGGACATTGGTGGCAATAATACGGGACAGGTTTTTCTCCACATTGTCAGATAGGGTTGACGAGACAAGGCGTAACACTGCATCTTGTTTTGCAGTGGCTGCCTGTTCCTGAGAACGGCGGTCCTGATCAAAGCGGAGGTACAGAGCATCAAGTTCGCGGCTGAGGCATTTTGTGAACTCCATGGAAACCGCTTTCTCAATCTTTTTTACTTCCTTGTTCAAGAAATCAGAAGAGACGCCTAGGTTAATCGATTCCGCTGGCCCAGTATCAGCAGAAGCCTGGGAGGTGGAAGGACCCTGAGTTTCGACTACCGCCACAGGCGGAATTTCAGGCTGACTTTGATATACATCCTTATTCGAAATTTCCCTTGGCTTCCCGTTATCAGCTTTCTTCTTTTTCCGTTTCTCATTCTTGTCTGTGACAGTGGTCGCTTGGTCATGCTGATCAGAAGTAGAGACAGAGTCGCCTGCCTTCTTCTTCGGTGACTGCTTTGAAGGGGACTGGTTGCGGGAAGATTCAACTCCAACAACCGATTCTTGTCCACGCCCAACTGTCCTTTTAACCGGTTCCTTCCCCTTCGGAGCACCCTTTAGGGCTGCATCCCCATTGACTGACTGTTCATCGACTGGGGCAGGGAAGCACTGCAGGGGATTAACATCAATGAATCCCTTTTGCAGAGAATCCACAGGATCAAGGATCTTGTTGTCGCTGCTCCACCCAAGGTCTGACTTTTTAATATTAAGACAGGTAACCCCAAGAGAATGCATGACATACAGCTCGAATAACCCTGCTTCCTCATCCATACCGCGTTGTGAAACAGACGGTCGGGTAAGAGGTAAGAGCTCAAGGCTCCTGAGTTGGCCCTTGCTTCCAAAGGACAGCTCGCGGATTCCACTCATACAAGCTGTTGACTCCGGTTTTGGCAATCTTTCATCCTTCTCGGCTACCCGCTGAATATACATGCCCTGCGACATCGGTGGCAGGGAGTATCTCGGAGCGGACAAGTGGACGAAATAAATAGAATTGCGCGTAGGGTGGCCAACGACGATAATTCCAGAACCGGGATGATATGCAACACTGCATATAGCGTCGGATTCATTGTCGTGAGGAAATTTCAATTCCTGTACCGCTTTGCCCAGCCCAATATCCCAGAGCTGGAGCGTGTGATTCTGTTTTAAGCCAACAAGAACATAGCGAAGTGCCGATGCTTTCACATACGGCCGTAATTTGTCGATGAATAAAACAGAGGTAGGCCACGACTTCTCCGTAGGTGATCCGGTGACAAGTGTCAAAAGAGGGACGCGAATATCAGTTGACACTTTCGAAGTATTAGAGTTCGGGAAATCGCCAACTTCACGAATGTCCCAGAACCGCATCCTGCCAGTTTTGTCAAGCGAGACGATAACAGTGTCGTCATCGCTGAAAATAAAGTCCTTCCCAGCCTTGCCAGTGGCGATCCTCAACGACTTTTCTTTGAAAAACTTTTCAGTGTCCACTTCACGCTGTGTTTCTGTAACCCCATACTTTGGGGACATGGCACAATGGGGCCACACGATATGGATAAACTTGCCGCGGCCAATGGCGAAAAACTCGGGATGGCGGGAGCTCCGCCTAGCCCGTGTTTTTAACTGACCGCCAGAGGTATTTTCATCAGAGGCGGGAAACGGTGGGAAGATCAAGCTGTCGCGTTCTAGCGCATCATTTTCGAAGAGGTCATTATCTGCCTTGAAAATAGTCGCCCAGTAGACTGCGCCGCTAACACCGATCCCAAGAACAGCTTGCCCTTTGGTCCGCGAAGAACTTGGTGCTGTGGTCGATAGAGAGACATTGAAAATCCGATCATTGGTAGAACGAAACACTTGTCTATCTTGACCGTCGTCCTGTCTGACTATCCTCATACCACCGTTCTTCGCCAAAGCGTAAACGATGTAATCGGAAGTAGCTGAAGTGAGCGAACGGTCCAATTGGTCGAAATCCTTCTTGAGACGGGCAATATCCATTATCCCATCACTCCGTAGTGAGAAGGCGTTCATAGTATTACCTTTCCAAGTGATCGACACGAATGGCTTCAACGGAAAATTATACACGGAAATAACACGTTCAGTCTCAGATTCCCACGAGTCCACAACAGCACCATTGGTATCATTGGTAGACCCTTTTGACTCTGAGACAGCCGGAGGTGAGCTCTTGGGGGTAACCTCAGCGCTCATATCCTTTTCCAGTTCCTTCTCAACATCAAGGGCAGTCTGTTCAAGTTTCTCCGCGAGCGCGTTCAAAACGGCTTTCGAATCCGCCTCTTCTTCTTCTACTTTAACGGTTACTTCTTCAACGGCAGCCCTTGCTAAGGCATCCTCGACCTCTTTATCAACCTGCCCAGCAGTTTCCCCGAGAACCTCAGGAACGGTTTCCTTTTTGATCTTCATTTTTTTCTGATCGGGGCCCCGGAATTCCTCAGATGCACCTGAGCTAGGAGGAATTGCCACATGGTCGCCCGTTTCCAAACTCGACGACGACGGAAGTGTGTCCCTAGATGGCTCTGACCGTTTTCGCTGGCCATTGGTCTGAATGAGGCCTGATACCCCGCTTTTCTTGGTACTGGCGGCCTCAGGTGCAGAACTTGCGTCAGGGAATCCTCGTGACTGGTTTCCTTGGGGGGTACGGTTGCGGGGAGAAGCCGCGGCAAGTTGTTCGAAAGGATTGACATAGGTAAATATCGAATCCTTCGGTTGTGGATGAATCGGGGGCTCAAAAGGAGTGGTTTCACGACTCTCCCCTGACCCGAATAATCTCATTGGGGACGCTCTACGTTCCGCAGGAGGCTTAGCCCCAGCATCAGTAGAACGCTCTCGCGGAGTAGCAACCTCAGGTGATTTCGCACCAGGCACAGCAATTACTGACTCCTCCGATTGAGATGTATGGGGTTTAGGACGATTTAACAGTTTCAATAGCATATTTTGGGCATTGTCAGCGGGAGAAGAAGTGGTAGTTGGGCGTTCGGACGATTGGGCAGCAACAGGGCTACCAGACATCAACCCAGTAGCAGCAGATGTAGACGCAGTTGGTTTCCCCATGAACGAAGCCACGATATCAGAGGCAGATATTCCCCTTCCGTGACCACTTTGGACGGTACCAATAGGCGCATCAACTTGTGGCTCCTTCGGCGCGCCCGCGCCAGCTTGCTTTGGAGCAGCTACATTCTGCGGAGCTGGACTGAACTTGAGCAAGTTTAGCAAATTAGAAGTGCGATCCGTGTTCAAAGTCTGCTGCTGTGGGCTCTGATTGTTGTTACGTGGCGTTGGAACATTGGGACTGATAACATCCGAGCTGTGATGTGGAGGTGTGCCCGCATACTGAGGGCTGTAGAGTGGCGACGACAGAGTAGCTTGGAACAAACCGGTTGGAGGTGAAAATGGGAATTCGCCTGGCGGCGAGCCATTTTGACGTCGACTCTGAGCTTCAGGGCTCAGGGGGTTGGATGCATTGTTTGATGAAGGCCTTGGCTTGATGTTGGCAAACAGAGCCTGGAGGTCAGCCGGAGTGGACATTTCTGCCACGATCACCTCGAAAGGTGAGCTCCAGCACGCGTTAAAGCAGAACTAAAGAGGGCAGGAGAAGAGCACGGCGTACGCTACAGCTCCAGGTAACGAAGAAAAGGGAGGAAAGGGGAAGAAAACGGGGAGAAAGGAGGGTATTAGAAAGGAGGCACGCGGCGGAAGAGGAAGAAGAGACAACAAAGTGACGACGAAGGTTGAGGTTTGGTGGAAATTGAGTGCAGGCTTGGCAGCGAAGCGGGTGCTGACTCATCGGTCGCTGGGTCTGTTTGCTCGGTTTGCCTTTCTGAGGGGCACGGTTTGCCTGATGCTTGAAGCCGGTGACGTGCATACGAGAGATCGGAGGTTTCCAATGGCTTCGAATAAATAAAAAAGTACTGTTTCTCCGAAGAGAATCCTCTCTACCTGAGTAGCTAAACAAACTTCGGACTTGGTAGGGGAGAATTTGGATGACATCACCGGCTAGATGATGTCACATGACCGTCACATGACTAACCAGCGCGGATTATTAATGGGAAAGTAAGTCCCCGCTGGCAACGAGAGAAAGAAACAAAAACGAGAGAACTAGGGAACATTACTTACTATGTTGTAACTACACTCGGGTATGATGGTCGCCTCTTTTACTCAGGTCCTACTCTCTATGTCACATCTGATATACTTTCCTACTAAGATCGCCGTTCCGCCTCCTGTTTGGTAGTGTTCATTGGTGCTTCCGGCCCTACCAATCCGCAACACGCCAGAGTCAAACATACCTACCACACTGCCGGCACAATGTTCTGTCTCAGAAGGTAAGGCCTCTGCGGAGTCACACTCTCTTTATTTTTACTTATTTTATCCTGTATGCAGAAATGGTGCTAACTGAAATGGTTTCTCCAGTTGGCTCCCTCTCCTCTTTATCCCCACAAACGCCAGCCCCCTTTTCATCCTCTCCTTCATCACCCTCACCTACCTCCTCCACCGACCATGCATCTACTGCTCCGCTCTCCTCCTGATCCTCTTCCTCTCTTCATGCCACTGGTCAGATCGCTGCTTCTTTGATTTCAAGGGCGACTGGTTTGCCCCTCGCCTCCCCGCTCCAGCCTCTCCTTCCTCACTGGAGAACTCAACAACCACCGGGCTGGCCGAATATGTACTCGAGACAGTGAATACGACAACCACAGCGTTGGCCGGTGCTGCAGTCGATGAGATAAAGAAGCATTTTGCGTCTAATAATGGAACTGGAGTGGTGGGAGATTCGCACGCGGAATGGACGGGCATGGGTCTGGAATGGTTGCGAAGCCTGCTTGGACGGAGGGAGTGGACGTTGCCGTGCGTCGATGTGAAGGTTAGGCTTTGAAGTACGAATTTCATATTTGCGAAAAATCAGGAGTTGGGATCGTTTTCTTTCCTTTTTAAGCTTCCTCGCGCTTGTTATTTTATTTTAAAGCTACCAATTTTTTGCGTCTTGTAACGGCATAGCAAAAGGGGAAAGGAAAAGCTTGGATATATGACGTTCGGTTATTGTATTGTATATTTAATCACTAATAACTAAACCATTTCTTAACACATAGCATCTGCTTACAATTTTGCCCGTCAAAATTAATATTTCTCTCTAGAATTTCAAATGAATTGATTATTTTTCTCAGATGTGATTGGTAGGCCAGAGAGAAGAGTTCCTAACTCCCTGTGCTGATATTTAGTTTTATTGTACTGCACTCTTGAATTTATCTTAGTTCCTGACAGGGTACAGACTGCTAACTCACATGGATTGACATGCATCCAGCTTTCCAAGCAAAGATATATGGTTCGCTTAGTAACGTTAACTACAAACGTCTTCCCCTCCCTCCACTCCTGTGACCTTTATCGTTCGGATCTCCCTCCATAACCTATATCGAGCTATTACACGTAAACCTACATTATTAGAGGACTATTCAATATCCACCAACTCGAGATCACAAGCCCACTTAATATTAATAACTCGTTGCTCGGACTTCGGCTTGGTTATAGATTAACGAACAACATCTGTGACTTCCTCTGGCAAACCCTCCAAGCCGAGCAAACCTCGAGGGAGCGGAAACACAACCGATGCGGAGCTTTGACGAATGCACCGGAAACAAGATGGATAAAAAGACACACATGCCTGAATCCGAATGCAAGATTTAGAAGGGTTCTAGCAGGTACTGCCTATTTCGTAGAATTTATCGCTTTCAGATGTGAACAACCCTGCAACGTGGGTAAACTATAGGCTTGCGCAGAAGTAAAGGAATCATAAGTCCTAACGCACAGCGCGATGGGCTGTGTGGGTTTTATTAATATAATGTTGGGGGATTTTAATCTCAGCATCGTCGTTGACAGGGGTTACATGAGCGATTTCATGTGTCTTCCTCAGGCCATTATCCGAGAGAGCATGCCGTATGGCGTACGTAGTACACAAAATGGATAAAGCCAGCAAAAAAGGCCGCGGCCACGTAGGTCACGGACAAGATGTACTACTGCACATGCATGCATACGCACACAGGTGTAGCGAAAGTCCCTTCCCTTCTTTCGGCCACACCCACTACTTCATCTTCCGTGCCTCAGGCAATTCAAGCATGAAACACTCCCCTTTCCAACTCTAGCCCTTCTAACCCCTCCCGCTCCTCCTTCGATTCCGCCCCATCCTCTCCCTCAACACAAAACCGAAACCCCACTACCCGCCAATTCAACTCCTGCCTCCAATGTAATCCATATCCGGTATATGGATCCAGCGCTGCATCCGCCCTCCCAGGACCCGTAGCTTGTAAATATACCACAGCCCGGAACCGCGAGAGCAGCATACCCATCGCGCAGCAGACGCAGGGTTCGTGGGTTATGTATAAGTCTAGCGATGTGCAGAGGTAGCCGCCCTGTGTGCGAGTTTGGATGTTAGGGAGAGAGAGGAAGTGAAATTCTAGAGGGGTGAGTGGGGGGTAGGGGAGTGGTCGTGGCGGTTGGGTTGGTTGGATGGGCTCGGGATCTAGGGACTGTGGCGACGGTTTGGGTTTCTTGGATGGGGGTGGAGAGGAGGTTGAAGGCTCTGTAGAAGATGATACAGCGGGTAGGGGGCCTGGTGTCGACGCAACAGACGCTGGTGCTGGCGGGGACATAGATATTGACGGTGTTACTGTGGGTGACGTCGACGAGGTAAGGCGCTTATAGGCGACTAATGATATGGCGCGCATCAGTGCATGGTGATCTGGTTGCCCTTCATTGTCTGGATCATATGATGTCGAAGGAGCAGCTCCCGCACCAACCTTCCCCTGCATTTCGCCTGCTGCAGACCCGCGGCGTCCCCGGCCACGGCTACAATACCCAGCAAACTTTATCCGACGGATCAGCCGCATCCGCCAG